GCCACCCACGGCTCAATGGGGCCAAGGTGATGGGTTATCTTAAAGAGCATTAGTTATGGTGCAAAGCGAAAATTCTACTGCAGCAGGATAGTTCAACGGTAACGTCCATAGGAAATAATCACATCAGCAGACGGTGGCCTTCCTTTCTCTTACCAAGAAAACTAAATACAAGTAATCATTTTAGTCTTCATTTTGATTAATTTCAGATGACAGTGAGGGTAATTATGGGGAAAAGACTGATGGGTGTCCCAATTAGGGCAAAGACTTTAGGTGTTAGAGAGTTGGAAGTTCTAGCAAAAAAGATAAATCAGTTGATTGCAATTGACAACAACCTGGAGAGCTCCATGTCGTAGTAAGGACGCAAAAGCAAAACAGAACAAACACGAATTCCCACCATGCAGTTTTAAGATTTTGAACTTTGTCTTAGAATTAGAATTTTCTGTTCAATATTCTGTTAAGAAAAGATATATTCAAACTTCAACATAGTATTTATTCAAAAGAATCAACACAGAAAAATTACATACTCAGATATCTTCAAATTATTATATGATGTTAATTACCTATGAAGGCATTGTTGACAAATGCGTGCACAACATGGCCATTGGACTGCACATTAAGTAGGCTTGTTTCAGCATCTGAGGAATGATTATATCTGCATTTGAATAGTATATGCAAGCAAAATTTAGTTAGTTCCAGGGGCACAAAGCTAGATCAAGTGGTGGGTGCCCCTCTCTGTTTTAAGCAGGAGAGGGTTCAAGTCCCCATACTTGCAGGTCTATCTCATGTTTAAAAATTATTCTTAGTATCGTAAGAGGTCCAATCTCACGGAAAAGGTGAAGGCATGGGCTTGAAAGAAGCTGTGAGAGGTTATTTTGAGAACCAATGTTGGGCAAGTCGATGTGGAGGTTTATCATTTAAGCTAAGCATGACAAGGGCAGTGGTTGGTTTACCAGAAGGAACATGGAGCCACATGGTTTTGGGTGTTTGGGAAGCTCTCCTTGTTTGTATGCAGAACAAAATGGGGAAGGCCATTTTGTGAAGTTTTTGAAAAGAATATTTGGTATGAATTCCTGAGGTCTTCAACATAGCTAGAAATAAGGAAGCTAAAGTGAAAAAGTGTTTTACAATGGTCTCTAATAAAACTTTTTCTTTTTTGGGATATTGGACTGATCCAGGACAACAACGATTGGCGATTGGATAGCTTGCCCACCTTCCTTCAGCCCCGTGAATCCAGATTTTGATGATCAGCTAGTTTGGAATTTGAATCAAGATAGATGGTTCACTGTTTAATCTTTCTACAAGCATCCTCAGGATAGGAGTTGTAGGAGATTGAGTTTTCTTGGAAGCAGATCTGGAAGAAGAAGAAAAATCCTGGAAGTGTATTTTTTTTTGGGAGGCTGTTTACGGCAGAATCCTTAAAATAGACAATATGAGGGGGAAAAAAAAGGAGATAACTTGGTGAATGGATGTTACTTATGCCAAGGGGCAGCACAGATGCATAATTATTTACGCTTTGGTTCCCTCTGGAACATTTTCTAGGGAACACTATCCTTGAGTTTGCTAGCTTGAAGTGAGTGATTGGCTGTATGGTAGGTAACAAACTATGGGCTTGGCTGGACACTGAGGCCAAGGAAGACTGTGAGAAGAATATTGCAATAAATTCTGTCAATTCTCTGAGTTATTTGGGAAGAGGGAAACAAGGAAGCATTGATGTGACACCTTCTTTCCTCCTGGGGGGTTGTTGGAGATCTTCTTGATATATTCACTAACTTGTAACTCATTATTTTATCATTGGATGGTAACCCTTGGTGCTGTGTAAATATCATATCTTTTTCTTCTGAAAAAAGAAGCACTCAATGGATAAAGATGATACGGTTTCATCTGGATTCAGCCAATTTTCCATTGGTTAATGTACAACTGTGGTTTACCTGAAAGTGCACCAAAGGTAATCTAATGTGTCTTTTGTTGTGCTCATGTGCTCTAATAATGTATTGGCTCTCAACGAAGTCCTTCCAAAATCAGGGACTGGCTCCTTGTATACTTCCCATCTTATAATGGTGTCAAACTTTTCGCTCAAGATCATTGATCTTGTACTTGTTTGTGCAGTTACCTGTTGAAGAAGCAAGTTCTCAGATAAAAGTACATTTTGAAGCAAGTTCACATAGATTGGCTGGCTTCTCTTGATTGAGAGATGTCGGTTTTTCTCCTCCTTTATCTAATAATGTTTCTATTGGGAGGGTAGCTAGTCCTTGTTTGCTGTATTCCTCCTCCTTTGTCTAATAATATTTCTTTTTCTATAAAGGATATATGTTATGTTCCTTTTCCTTTACCTGATAACCATTTTTTTTCCTATACTATATCATCAAATGTACAGGAAACTAATTGGTTTATGTTCAACTCCTACCTTTGCTGTGTTAAAAGCTATGATCTTGCAGTCTGGCAGGATGCTTATTGATTTTTGTGGTAGTTCATATAAATGGTTCTGGAACATGACTTTAGCAACTCTTGTACCGTCATTGTTTATCAGAAAGGCGGAACATTCTCCTGAATTCCTTTTAAAGACATAGGCCTGCAAAGACAGATTAACTTATAGTACTAGTGAAACTACTTATTTTAGTCAAAGAAGTGAAATTGATGTATGTTTATTTATTCTGAAATATGCTAAGATTTCTTATAGCCATTACTTCTTGTAGTTGACCCAAAGGGACAATGCTCTGCACTCCAGAAAGTAAAGAGTTTGAGCATAATTTGACTGCAGCATGTAATTCCTTAAGGTGACCCCACTTTGGCTGTCTAATTAGACCTGAACTTATCAAGTAAACATATTTAACATTTAATCCTGTTTAAATTATAATTTAAATGTTTACAGTCATATGATGGACCAACAAGGATGGGACATACCGTACTCATCAAGAGGAGCTTGATCATAGTAACTTGTAACCATGTAAGCAGCGGCCCTTCTTCCAAAATTTGTTCCACCATGATACTGTAAGTTGTGCTATATCTTAGAAATATGTTTATGCTGCATATCTAATATGAAAACAGTTGATGAATGAATTATTTCATGTTTCTCTGGGGAACCCATTGTTGACTTAAAGTGGCCAATACTTTTTATGCCAGCATAAGGTACATGTAGCATGAACTTGGATGTTTCCAACCACTAAACATGACATAAGATGGCATTAAAAGACTGGGAAGAGATGAATGTACCATGTAATAGTTTATATAGCTTCCTTTCTTGGCAATGAACAAAGCAACATGAAATGCAATATCTGCAGCTGATCTCATGTAAGGTTCCTCACCATAGGCCTGATAGCTTCATAAGAAGAGAAGGCGTTAGTTGCACATGAGATCTTGTAATTGATGGTTTGTTAATTGCTTGCAATGGCATGCATATTTCATTTAATTTTAACTATGAAGAAGCAGAAGGCTGCTGACTATTATTGTTCATGTTGACTAACTATTCTTGTGTTTTTATTACTATGCTGAAAAACGAGTACGTGAGTGCTTATAGAAACTCCTTGTACAAGAAAAGAAAACTATGAAGATGTCTGGGAGATATCTTCTTATTCTCTAAGGTTGTCTTTGATTTAATTCTTTTCAGTTCCTAGTTAATTTCTGTTTTTTATTTTCATGTTAGTCTTAATAGGCATGATTAGAACATAATATTTTGTGTTTGTTAGTATCACTCTTGCCATCAAGGAATTCGAAATGGGTTGCTGATAACTTAAACACAAAAAATTATATTCTAATTCTTTACAGTTAGATTAATATGATTGATTTTTTTTTTCTTTTGAAGAGAAATGATGGCTACACATTATCAGCGTGGTTACTCCTCATGGATGTTAGCACTTGAGAACTCCTTTGCTGTAAATGGGTGGTTTTAACTATAGCTGTTGTTCTTTGAGTGAGCCCATTGCCACAGTCTATTAACTATTAGTGTTCATGCAATCATCCAAATAGGATCCTATTTAAGGAAGGAAGGAAAGATTTTCTGTGACATGTTGTTAGATGCCAAAACTGGTGCTTTATTGATCCGTTTTAGACGCATTAGTCTTCAACTGATTTTATTGATTATCCATTTGTACTATATCTTAAGCGTTTGTAAATTATTCTTTTATTGAATTTTTTTAAGGGTGAGGACTTTATCTTCCCTATCTGCGTAATCTATGTAGCAAAGTTATTTTCAAATCCTAATTGCACTGATTTTAGAATAAAGAGTATATGAAGGATTCACTGTGCACTTACAAACTTGTCCAGTTCTCTGTCCAAATCCATGGCTTGTTTGGTTTGTTGGGTCCTGCAAATGTTTCCCCACATCGAAGCCCGTTGCATGCGTTTATCTGCAAATTTCTTGATCTAATTACTCAAAAGGAAAAATGTGCATTGTTAAAAGTGTGCTTGATGGTTAGTTATTTTGATTTTATAACTACAGGGGTTCCTGAGCATCAATAACAAATGTGGTGAGAGCAGGCTATCATAGGGAGTTCAATCGGACCATATGGAAGCATGTGAAATGAAGTTCCATTTGCAGATCCTCTACAGTTTGGTTTCTTTTTCTTAGTAATATCTTTCTGACTATTATGTGGATCTAAAAATTTCTCTTGAGGCGAATTTTTTAAAGATGCTTGTAGAGATAATTGGGTATACGAATCTAACCACAGGGTCTGGAGCATCATCTTGCTTGCACATCACCCACGGTACTCCAGTGTGAAGCCCAACAGCCATTGCTGCTGCCCAGCGAATATAGCGCGGCCTTTCTTCATGATAAGCTGGTTCTATGTTCTTGTATTCATTCTCAATCTGTATGTATATTCAGCTTTTAGATCATGAATATGGAAAAGATAATAAATGGAAACTCTATGTTACGTAGTTAACCTGTGATAGTATGACAGGCCCTCCTTGTGAAGCATATAGTTTTTCCGATTGCATCATGCGAACAATTTTTGTTGTGAACCTTTGCATATGGTACTGTGATCATCAAAGAAGGCTGACTTAGTTCTTTTTTTTTTTCTTTTGGGGGGGAGGGGGGAGGGGGGAGGAAGGAGGTTGCAAGATTTCTGGGGCTATCAATTTATGGAAATACATGTTTGGTGATTAAGGTAGTCCTTTAATTATAGAAGTTGTACTTGAACTTTCTTAATGAACTTTATGTATAATTGGCAATGACAACTGACGCTATTGATTTCTTGCAATTTGTGGTAGTCAGTACCTTGAAGAGTTTGTTGTCAGTTCGGAAAGCAATGCCTTGAACATCATGCAACCAAAAGGGTAGGCCCCTGCAACACCATAGATTAAGTTTTTTTTTTTTCATGCTTGAAGTGCCGTGTGTTTGTGCATGTAGAAGGTTTCAATATAATGTAACATGAAGCTCAATAAATACAATTGATGAATGATATAGGATCTTCTTCTTTTTCTTGCTAGAAGGGAATGCTGGCACTGTAGCCAGCGGGTGTCAGACCCCGACCTCCTCTATGGCCATGGAGCTGACAGGACATAACCATTTAAGGCTACTGCCTTTGGTTGAATGATATATATATCCTTTCTATGTGAAAAGGATTCGCTTGCATTATTGCCTTGGAATATTGTTAATTTGAAGGGATTTTGTGTTACCCGTAAGTCCATTCAGCCTCAATGAAGGGTCCAATTCTTAGGCAAGCATATAGGCCTTGAGCTTGGATTTCCTTTATGAACCTTATAATATCATTTCTGCCACTAAAATCAAACTGCCACATAAAACAGTTACTGCCAACTTTGTTAAATGAAAAAGAGAATGAGAGAGGAGAGAAGAGAGTTAAGATATTACCTGTCCTTGTTGGGGTTCATGGAGGTTCCAAAACACGTAGGTTTGTATTACATCTAGTCCTCCTTCCTTGGCTTTGGCTATTAGAGATGGCCACATCTGCAAGTTCCATACTTCTATATTTCAGAACTTGGCTACCATGCATTGCCTTTCCATCTTGTTGGAAATAATAATTATGACTTTGTTAATTACTGCTTTTTCCTTTAAAAAGATTAAATCTTTTCAAACTTGTAGCTTTGCACCCCAAATGATCTCAAATAGTTTATTTAATTGGCATACAGTGTTAATCATTCTCTGAATTGCCTGCTTAACAACTCAACCTGGACTCTTTCAAAGCTGGATGATTTTTAGTTGAATGAGAATGTGTAATCAGAATCAATATCATACTAGTGAATATAATAAAGATTTCTGAGACATGAAATAAATTCAGTAGAAATAAACCAATATTGAACACAAGTTAGGGGTATGGACGTAAGTTAGCAATTTAAATTGGATCATTCGGCAAGCGTTGTCATTTTAGAATCTGGTAGGTGTCAGCCTTTGTTATAGCTTTCAATTTTTCCTCTCTATTGATTTTTTTGTGCGTGAAATCCAGCCAGAAAGAAATTTGATAAATTGATTCTTTAGTCAATCAAAGCAATAAATTAAAAATTGCAAAAATTGGTACATTAGGATAGAGTTTGTTGAAAGAACTTTTCTTAATATGTGAAAAAAGAGAGTGACGAAACTAATGCTTACAGCAACATGGCATGCAATTGGCAAAGGTACCTTAGTGATGAAAAAAGAAAGAATGGGACTTCTAGTTTCAACTATGCCTGAGGTGCTCGAAGTC